CATCCGACAGGAAAAAATTTTCCCGACAACAGGAAAAAATTTTCCAGTTGTCCGTCCGTAAACCATTCAAATTTTCCAAAATTGAGAACTTTTTGGTCGAACTTCAGAAAAAGTTTTTCCTTCCAACAGAAAAAGTTTTTCCTTCCGACAGAAAAAAATTTTCCCGACAACAGGAAAAAATTTTCCCGACAACTGGAAAAGTTCTTCCTTCCGACAGGACACAAACGAATGTCCGACGTCCCTCTTCCTGAACGCCTTCCCAAACCAGAGGAACCTAAAGCACCAGCCCCTGCACCTCAGTTCCAGCAAGTACCTCCGAATTACTACCAATTTCCACCTCAAGGTTACTACCCACCACAAGGCTTCCCGAACTACCCTCCTCAGCCTATGCCTTACTGCCCCAACCCTTGGTTGTTCCAGCAATTCCAATCTCAATCCAAATCCAAGAGAGACCAAGAGTTCGAAGAAGGTCTGAACCGCTTACGCAAAGAGTATGCCACAGCTCCAATTGAGAGAAAGTTGTTCCCGGACCAAAAAATATAATTTAGGTGAAGAGGTTAGATCTAACCTCATTTCTACCTGTAATAAACAGAAATTCATCAAAAGTGACAGCTCTCATTTTTTTGACATTTGTAAATTCTAAATTGAATGAGAAAAATGAAATAATACTAAGCATAATACAATATTCTAGATTTAATTATAATTAGGAAAAAGTTAGTTTTGAGAGTACTTTTCATAGGCATATAGAATGAAATCTTCTGAAAAAGAATATCACATAAACTCATATTATTTTCTAATATATAACTATTTTATATAAAAATCAAATTCAATGATCTTAAAAGCGAAGGATAAACCTCACAATTTACGAATATAATGAGTGGAATATTTCATATGGTTTTATGATAGATAAGCATTATATTCCCACTCATTATATTCGTAAATTTTGAGGTTTATCCTTCGCTTTTAAGATCATTGAATTTGATTTTTATATAAAATAGTTATATATTAGAAAATAATATGAGTTTATGTGATATTATTTTTCAGAAGATTTTGTGTTCTTCTTCAAAATTTTATTTTTTTATTAAAAAGAATCTTTACAAAATATACATTTACTTTAATTAATATTTTAAAACGTGCTCTATCAAAAGTTCCAAAAATTCAATATTTTAGCTTTTCTGAGGTGTCACTTTTGATGAATTTCTGTTTACAACACTACCCTCATGAATTTGTCATGACTTCTTCGTAAATGTTTTGTGAAGAATATAGCAACAGTCTGAATTCCGGCGGTTGCTTTTTATACAAAATTCATGCAGGAAATTCTTGAGTTTTGGTTGAAAGAATACGGTGGAGCCAAATGTGGCTCGACCTCAAAACAAGCATTTTATGAGCTTACAAAGGGTGTTATGAATGAATTCAGCAACATACATCCTGACCTCGTTCATTTTGTTGCTAAATTCAGTAAAAATATATTTTAGGTGAAGTGGTGAGATCTAACCTGTTTTCTAACCTCTTGAATTTTCATGAATTTTATATATTAATGTTTTCGTTATGCCACTTTGTGCCGTCAGTCAGTCAGTCAGTCAGTCAGTTTAGGAAATTTACACCAAAAATAATGTTTAGGGTAGAAGGTTAGATCTCACCTGTTTTCTAACCTCATTTCTAACCTCTTGAATTTTCATGAATTTCCTTAAGATAGAAAAAATAAAATTAGTTTTATTTTGTATTTTTTTGTATGTAAAGATATGATTTCAGGGATTTTTTTGACGAAGTGTTACTCTTCACTTCGTCAAAAAATAACAGTTATCTAATGAAAAAGTGTCATTTTTTTCATTTTTTTGTATGTAAAGATATGATTTCAGGGATTTTTTTGACGAAGTGAAGAGTAACACTTCGTCAAAAAATAACAGTTATCTAATGAAAAAGTGTCATTTTTTTCATTTTTTTGTATGTAAAGATATGATTTCAGGGATTTTTTTGACGAAGTGAAGAGTAACACTTCGTCAAAAAATAACAGTTATCTAATGAAAAAGTGTCATTTTTTTCATTTTTTTGTATTTGACGAGAATGTTTAGGGTAGAAGGTTAGATCTAACCTGTTTTCTCACCTCTTTTCTCACCTCATGAATTTTCATGATTTCATCGTAAATGTTTTGTCAAAACTTCTTCATCGTAATGAGCGTAAATGACCAAAAAATATAATTTAGGGTAGAAGGTTAGATCTAACCCGTTTTCTCACCTCTTTTCTCACCTCATGAATTTTCATGATTTCATCGTACATGTTTTGTCAAAACTTCTTCGTTTATGTTTTGTCAAAACTTCTTCGTAAATGTTTTGTCAAGACTTCATCGTAAATGTTTTGTCATGACTTCTTCGTAAATGTTTTGTCATGATTTCATCGTAATGAGCGTAAATGACCAAAAATAATGTTTAGGGTAGAAGGTTAGATCTCACCTGTTTTCTACCCTCATTTCTACCCTCTTGAATTTTCATGAATTTTCCCGAAATAAAAAAATAAAGTTAGTTCTATTTTATTTATTTATTCTTCATTTTTTTGTATGTAAGATATGATTTCAGGGATTTTTTTGACGAAGTGTTACTCTTCACTTCGTCAAAAAATAACAGTTATCTAATGAAAAAGTGTCATTTTTTTCATTTTTTTTCATTTGACGAGAATGTTTAGGGTAGAAGGTTAGATCTAACCTCTTTTCTACCCTCATTTCTACCCTCTTGAATTTTCATGAATTTTCCCGAAATAAAAAATAAAGTTAGTTTTATTTTATTTATTTTTTTTATTTTGTATGTAAAGATATGATTTCAACAATCGGCACAACAACAATTCAAACAACAGCACCAAACTCGTTAGTCATGAATCCAACATCTATGTTGGTAGAGATGAAAAACTTCATTCCTTCTTCATATACTTTCGAAACAAAAATCCAGAAGATAAAGCAAGAACTTTTAACAAGTAATTTAGACTGTAGTGCGAAAGATGAAGAAAATGAAGAATATCTTTATGAAATGCAGGACATTATTGACCATTTGCCTAAACTACCTGAAATCCAACAACAAAAACTCACTATTCCTGAATTCGACGAAATTGAAGTGAAACCAACTGACTCAGTAGAAATAAAGAAGTTCATACGAAAGGTAAATTATGAATTCCTAGGATATCATTGCAACCATAAGGTTATGGACAAAGATTGCGATATGGTATATAAGAATGTTTCTGACATATATAAATCTGAAGAATTTAAGACCTACGACAACTTTGTTTCGTTAGTTGCTGAATGTGTTTGGGAAATAAGAGATAAAGATAGAAGAGGCAAAGTATGGAACGAACAAATAAGACCAGCAGCTTTTGAGTTAAAGAAAACCATTGACGCCTTAGTTGTTTTAGCAGGTAAGGTTTCAGAATATAACGCAAAAATGAACCCACAATGTTCTAAATGTAAAGCAGCAATGAGGAAATATAACTACTCAGTCAAAGAGATAGAAAGAATGAGAAACGACTATGCAGACTTAAAGAAAGAAGCAGAAAAGCCAGCAGAAAATAAAATGGACATGTTAGAATTTCTGAACAAAAACTATCCAACAGCAGAAGATTTCCTTCTATCTGACGTCAAGAAGAAGTATAAAGAAACTTTCGGTATCGTTAAAACTTTTGACATACTGACAGAAGAAATAGAAGCTACGAAACTGTTTAGAGTCTCACGAATTCATAACGTTTACCATGTAAAACGCTTATAAAATAACTGGGGTAGAAAAGAGGTTAGAAAACAGGTTAGATCTAACCTTCTACCCTAAACATTATTTTTGCTGAATTCAGCAACAAAATTCTGAGTAAAATAATTTTTAGGGCATGTGTCAAACCGTTGAGTTTTCACAAAATTTAAAAAATAACGTTTACCATGTAAAACGCTTATAAAATAACTGGGGTAGAAAAGAGGTTAGAAAACAGGTTAGATCTAACCTTCTACCCTAAACATTATTTTTGTCTGATTTACGCTCATTACGAAGAAGTCTTGACAAAACATTTACGAAGAAGTCTTGACAAAACATTTACGAAGAAGTTTTGACAAAACATATACGAAGAAATCATGAAAATTCATGAGGTTAGAAAACAGGTGAGATCTAACCTTCTACCCTAAACATTATTTTTGTCTGATTTACGCTCATTACGAAGAAGTCTTGACAAAACATTTACGAAGAAGTCTTGACAAAACATGTACGTTCATGTTTGACAAAACATGTACGATGAAATCATGAAAATTCATGAGGTTAGAAAAGAGGTTAGAAAACAGGTGAGATCTAACCTTCTACCCTAAACATTATTTTTGTCTGATTTACGCTCATTACGAAGAAGTCTTGACAAAACATGTACGAAGAAGTCTTGACAAAACATATACGAAGAAATCATGAAAATTCATGAGGTGAGAAAACAGGTTAGAAAACAGGTGAGATCTAACCTTCTACCCTAAACATTATTTTTGTCTGATTTACGCTCATTACGAAGAAGTCTTGACAAAACATTTACGAAGAAGTCTTGACAAAACATATACGTTCATGTTTGACAAAACATGTACGAAGAAGTCTTGACAAAACATATACGTTCATGTTTGACAAAACATTTACGAAGAAGTCTTGACAAAACATATACGTTCATGTTTGACAAAACATTTACGAAGAAGTCTTGACAAAACATGTACGATGAAATCATGAAAATTCATGAGGTGAGAAAACAGGTTAGAAAACAGGTGAGATCTAACCTTCTACCCTAAACATTATTTTTGTCTGATTTACGCTCATTACGAAGAAGTCTTGACAAAACATGTACGAAGAAGTCTTGACAAAACATATACGTTCATGTTTGACAAAACATGTACGATGAAATCATGAAAATTCATGAGGTTAGAAAAGAGGTTAGAAAACAGGTTAGATCTAACCATCTACCCTAAAATATATTTTTGCTGAAAAATGACCAAATTTCATGAATTTCCTCATATGCTTGCTTCCCTCGGAAAACCGAGAGAAGAACAGCGAGACCGACTTTTATCTGGGTCGCCAAAACTCTATGAAGATGTGAAACAAATAGTTCAAGATACGTTACCTCAAACACACTATGATATGAAAGGTTGTACAATACTTACATTCAAAGAAGACTTACCGCTACTGAAAGAAAAAATAACAGAGTATGTTGACAAGTTCAAACAAGCAGAGTAAATGAACTCTTTATTTTTATTGACTTTTTACAATTTGAACTTTGTTTGCGTAGATATGAATTCTGAAAGAAGTATGAGGGTCTTGTATGACTTTATACTTCTCCCAGAGTTCATATCTGTCAAACTTACCTGCCATGGACTCTTTCATAAGTTCCATGAAATCGTCTTCGGACAATCTGGGGAAAAGTATTATGTCAGTAAGTATTCTTTTAACATCCTTACTTAAACTCTTTGCTGTCTGTACACATATTACGACTGAGATGTTAAAGTGTCTGAGCTTCTTAAGAATTCGACACATGTCTTGTTCTCTGTTCTTTAACAAAGGATGAGAAGCAAAGTCATCTAAGATAAGAAGACATCTATGAGGGTATGTCTTCCAATCGTAAGATTGCAATTTCTTCGAAATGTATTCTATCTCTTTCTGTTTGTTTCTGAAGTGTTTCTTCTCTAATATTCTCTGCATTTCCTCATTTGGGTCTTTAAACTTAGAATTTATATACTCATTTATAGCATTATACTTCAAAACTCTTCTTTGGTACTTCTTTATCCAATCTAACAACTCAGTATCCTTTATACATACTAACTTAGACTTCTTATAATATCTTTGAACGAATTGACGGTTTGGTCAAATTGACCAGAAGTACTACAAATAACAACTAACTCATAGAATGGGTTCTTCTCATCTAGTTCTTGTTGTTGTGCAGCCATTTTAAGATAAGTGAAAGTCTTACCAGACCCAGGTGGTGCAATTAGACCTGTTATACCATTCTGAGCAAATAAGAACTTGTCATGTATAGGCTTTATCTGAGCATTTTCTAACTTTCTCTTGTTCTTATTTAAAACATTCTCAAATTTCTTGTCAATGTCAGCAAACTTTTTTTCTAACATATTTTTAGAAAAATTAAAATTTTTATCTTTTAGAAAATGTCTAGCGATTTCGCTATCTATATTCGAGACAAACTTTTTGACAGCAAAACATCTGTCGACCATAAAATCTTACATAGTGTAAACAAGAAAGGTGAATTTGTTCTAAAGTTCTGTTTCTGGGAATATGACAAGAACCATAAAACATTAAGCAGAGCAGTCTTAAAATTTGTCAATGACAGACTTGTTGACAGAGATGACGCCGATTGGAGAGATGAAGTCCAACAAAACTTCTTAGAATGCAAAGAAGACACATGCGCTGTTCTTGAAGATGAAATAGAAAACAGAATAGATGAGCTATTAAAGGACAAAGAACTTTTACATAGATATGGTTCTGAGAAATTTGACATAACTCCACCAGAGAAGAAGAAGAAAGAAAAGAAAGAAGAAGAAAGAAAAGAAAGTAGAAGAAGAGAAGAAAGAACCTGAACCAGTTCCAGAGAAAAAGAAATTTGACATGTAAAATAAAATTTTATTTTTAGAACATTTCTGGTCAATGTCAATGTTCTCTTCCTCTTTAGGAGTAAACACTGGCTTAGACTCTAAAATCTTTTTACCCAATTTACCTTGAACTTCTACAACTTTAGACTCATAATATTCATAGTCGTCTGTCTTCTTTGGTTCATAAGGTATAACAAGTTTGTATGCTTTGCCTTCTTTAAGGTTTGAGAACCTTCTGTCAAAACTTTCTTTGACTGTTAACAAACCTTCTATGTCTAAGTCTTCAAAATTTCGCACCATTTTTAGTCACAATAGCAAACTTACTGGTTCGATGTTCCAACTTTGCTGAATGAAGACTTTTCAAAATGGTAGAAGTAAACATTCAAATATGTGAATGGGTCTAGTTCTTCTTTAAGTCCTGACATGTACTTGTTTACTGAGATGAATTTTGCCATCTTTTCTATCGGATAAAAAATATTTTTTTTTAAATTATCTCATAAAATTTTCTTTGTATATCACCATTCTGTACGTCTAAAAGACTTTTGACATTTGCCAAGAATGTTCGTTTAGACGCTGTCATATAACCATATTCTTGACAATATTGTTTATACGAATCGTACAATGACCTTTCATCTAATGACACAAAGTCAGTTTCATCTATGAACAGTTCAATACACTCTTGTTTGCTTCTAACAATGTTGTCTCTCTTCGGTATGTGGAATTTGTCTTGGATTGAACTTAGAAATATCTAATGTCATAAAATATGAGAACAAGTGGTTGTAAAAGTCAGATGTCAAAGTTCTGCTAAGTCGTCAAAATATTCTGTATCTTGCATATGAGAATCTGACGTTCTGACAACTACATATCTTCTGTCAGAACTTTCTAACTTCATCGGAACAGCATTGTTTGAAACCATAATGAAGTTTGCAACATTTTCACAAACTCTTTGGTCTTTATACTTTCTTTCAACAACTCCAACTTTATCTGTTATAAGACTCTTCAAAGCATCTTGAGTTCAAAACTTTTGTTGTATCTATACTTTGAAGTTCATTGCAAACTATAAGTTTCATATTCTCTATTGAGGAGTTAAACTTGCCACAGATGTTTTCTAAGTTTTGTCATATTCGGATTCGAATAACCTTCTAACAGTTTGCACAAAATATCTGTAAAGAATGTGTTCTTACCAGTTCCTTGTTTTCCAATTATAATGAGAGCAGTTTCATTTTTAGCACTTGGATGTTGTAAGATGTTTGCAAAACCAACATAAGATATACTCATAAACCTTTTCGTTTCCATTGCATATATTTATTTCTTGACATGGTCTAACCAAGCTTCTATAATATTTTCTTTCCATTCTACTTGTTCATATTTATATCCAGTGAAGATAGAATAGAAGTTTGGAGGAAGGTGTATAGAACTTTATACTCGAACTGAAAAAATCTTCTAACTTTGACAATAAGATATCCCAAGCATCTAACATCTTCATGCCAACTTGTACGACTTTTATTTTCTTAAGTTTCTGTCTACATTCTTGTTCTGAAACTATTGTCGCTTTAGGTTTGTTAAAGACTACATCCCATTCTTTCATGACATAACATTCTGGGCAGAGTCAACATAAATGACTAAACGTTTCAAATTCTCGACTGCTTTGTTATAGTCTCTAAATGGACACATATTTCTGAATGCTTGGAAGTCATAAAAATCTGAAACATCTATTCTGTACATTTTTATAAAAATAAAAAAATATTATTTTTTATTCTTGACTTTGTTGTTCCATTTGTTGCATTGTTGTTCTTGAGCTATTTGTTGTTGAAGTTGTTCTTGTAATACAATACTTTCACCAGTTGCATCTTCCAATTCGAAACTTTCTGCCGTCATTGACAAATACATAGGACATTAAAAGTTTTACAGGAACAAAGTTTGCGTCAACTAATGTCAACGTTATACTTGCCAAAGTGTTTGAGTTCACTAAGGTTGAAAATTCTGCATTCGAATGAACAATAGGCAAACCAGCAGAGAAAGTATTGTTTTATGCGCATAAGTATCTTTTGGTCATAATAGTTTCTGTCGACATTCGAATAACACTTTGAACCTAAGTTTGAAACAATATATAAGATTGGTGTGCTTAATGTCAATGGAATAGACATTCCTTGTATGACACCTTTTCCTGTTATAGGAAACTGTTGGTAGTAAAAACCAGATATAAGTTTTGTATTATAGCTCATATCGTTTATAGTAAACTCAGTCGGACATCCAAACATAATGAAACCTGCTCTAGTTGCAGCACATGTTACACCCGTACTTAAAGTATTAAATAAGTCAACAAAACCTGTTGGTGGTATATCTGAGTAAGTATCTTCAAAGGAGTATTTTTTACCATTCACAACAATAAAGTCTTCTGGTGTCAAAAGAGCAAAACAGGCTTTAGTCGTCATTGTATTTAAGGTTAGTTTACAATATCGTCCTTGAGGACTTTGTAAGTTTGTTGTTATAGAATTATATGACTCAGGGTTTTTAGTCGTAATAGTATAAACCATTATGTCTTCTGCCATTTACTTAGCAAATAAATTTTAATGAAATGTTGTGGTCGTCAAATATTTTTATAATCTGGGAAACTATATTTTAAGTTCAACGTTTCACCTCCTTTCATAACGTATATCTTGTCAATGACATTATATGAAACACCACAGCAACTAATGTCGGGTTCTATTTCTTTGATGTTTATATCGTCTGCCTCTGTCAAAAGTTTCAATAGTTCTTTCAAAACTTCATGAGGTGCAATGACATATGAGTTCACTTTTACAGGTTGTGTTCGACCAAGTTTTAACATTTATACTTAAAGCTTGACAAATCTTCTCCTGAGTTTGAAGTTTGTCTTTCAGTTGTTGGTAGTCGTTTCGAATATCTGCAACAGAACTTAAGTCTCTGTTAACTTCAGGATATGTTGGTTCTTTTACAGGAACAATTGTTATACCATCTTCGTCTTCGTATGGTTTCCCACTTCAACATCTCTGTCTTTGACATTGACAATAACACTTTGACTGTTGTTTGAGTTGGTGAATTTAACTTCACATCTGCCACCGCCATTAAACCTTTTGAAACACTTACGCTTTCTATTTTTCGGAATGACATTTTACTTAGAATAAAAAGATGGACGTATTCGGATATCTTTTGAATTGAAGCAAAACAAAGTTTATACTCACAAACAATACAAATACATTGACAGAATAGTTCTTTACACAAACAATGGAAAATGTTATAGAATAGCAGTCTTTGCTGAACCTAAATATTTTCATAAAGCAAAGAAAGTTGGTATAACCGAGATGGTGAAAGTTCTTGAAGCAGACAAAAAATAACTTCAAAACTTACAGATATTACTAAAGGAAAGTTTTATAATACAATATTATGTCAAAACTGGCGTACTGTCAATATTTGACGGAGAGAAGTCAGTTCAAGAACAACTTACTGACTGCTGCCAAAATCTGCTCGATGGAAGCTGTCGTTATGCCAATCTGAGGAGCCCCAGCAGGTTTCATCGAACGAATCTTCAAAAGAGCATCTTCCGTGAAAAGTGCTATTGGTTTTGTAAACTTCTTTGCTTTCAATTCATCTGACCGTCTCTGTCACCAGTATATTGTATTTGAACTGTACCAACAGTTGAAATACCACCCATAAAGTCTTCTGAGTCAGCAAATGGAATGCCAAGCCAAAAGTTTGAACGGTCTCCATTTGTATATTGAGTTTTTTGACCTCCTGTATGAGTCCATACTTTCACATATGGCATAATAGAACTTTGCATTTCAGGTTAATGGTTGTTGTGAAGTTGTTGTTAAAGTTCATAGCATCTAATGTTCAAGTTGTATGACCTCATATCCTCAACTGTAGAATATTCTTCTCTTGGATAATATTTACCATCTATGTTTATATGATATTTAAATACCAGGTTGTAGAAACAAGAATAGTCATTTATAGTTCGTCTGAACAGTACAAACATAGTATCTGCATGTTTCATTGCAGTTGTTTTAAAGCAATATCTGTTCTTGCACCTGGGTTCAGCACTTTGGTTTCCAACTTCACCTGCAAAGTCTTTGACAGATATTTGGTGTATAGGGAACATAAGTGAACTGCAATATATTTGGCAGCTAAAGCATTTGAAATATCTGGGTCCAACATATAGACTGCAAGTCTGCTTTCTATTCTCTTGCATTCAAAATTTTTCGCATGTGAACTTAACTGGGTCCCAAGCATCTCCAGCAGCATTGAAATAATAGTTTACTTCAGTGTTGAGGTTTGAGAAACCAAAGTCTAAGTCAACTTTGTCTTTGCAAATTCGGCGAATGACGTTTTATTTGTTCCCTTTACGTCTGTAAGAGTGAATGGGTCTTGTGTTGGTGCAATGACTAAGTTATTTTGCTTGGAGTAAGTTCGATAGAAATTTTTCCTGCCCAGTTTGGCAAGTATCTTAAAACCTGAAGATGAGGAAAGATGACAAAGGAACTCTAAGTTTCAGTTTTACTTTAGTGGCAGCAGTTCCATCTGAACAGAAAGGTTAACATAAACTCCTGAACGTTAGGGTCAAGTCTTCTTATTTTCTCAATAGTTTGCATACTGGTCTTTGTTCTCTAGCTTGTGGTTGTACTGAGTTTCTCAAAGCGAACCATTCATAGTTTGCCATGTTACTGTTTGAACTAAGTCAGAGTTAGAATATATCTTATATCCCATGAAAACTTCTGGAGCATATTGGTATCCGACATAGAAAATTCCATTGCAACCTTTCTTGTCAGACAACTTGGCAGAAGGTTTTATTTCAATGTCTTGTTCCACGTATAAGAATGAGTTGTCAATAGAAATAATATGAAACCTGTCGCAAGCAATATCTACTGTTGTTGAAGAACCTTCACCAAACTCACCTACGTTTCCATAAGAAACAGCAGTTGTATATTCGTAAGTTCCAGGAACTATTTCTGACCTTCTAATGGCATTGTCGCATTCGTTATACCATTCGGAAACATTTCCGTTCATGGCATCCAAAACTGTTGGCGTTATATTCTGAGCGGCGTACATTTCATATGGGTAAAAATATAGAATAGTTGGATTTATTTGTCATAATTGTTTCGGACCAAGCTTTACTTTCTTCCTGACTGAGTTTTTAACTCTTCTTTTTCCTTCATTGCCACTACTTTCACTAGATGAAGTTACTTCTTCACTACTTTCACTTTGTTCTACTCTTCTTCTTTGGTGTCGCTTTTGGTAACTTGCCCTCTGCTTCAAGT